GGCCCATCGTGGATACGTTGCCTGATCTAAAAACCAGCCTAGTGCAAAGGTTGGACGACCTGGACCGCAGAATGCGGCAGGCCGAAATTGACATAGCAAATATCAGTCGCGACTCTGAGTAAGACCGGCAAACGGCAGCCGTCGAGGCAACCGAAATTCATGGCAAATTCGAGGGCCTCCAACAGGAGCGTGCCGAGGATTTAGCCCATCGGGAACTAGAGACAGACAGACTGACCGTCATGCAACAAACCATAGACAACTTGACAGGCCAGCTCAATGTTGTCAATGCTGCCCTTCAAAGCCTGCCCAAAGGAGGCGAAAACCAAATCAGGGGTGCCATGAACATTGCCCCCGTGCCACAAAAGCTGAAAATTCCGGAGCCAAAGCCATACAACGGAGCCCGGGACGCTAAAGAAGTGGAAAACTTCATCTTCGACATCGAACAATACTTCGATGCCGTAGGACAATTGGAAGAATCCAAAAAGGTAGCAACTGCTGCTATGTATCTTCAAGGCGATGCAAAACTCTGGTGGCGAGTCAAATACGAAGCCATCAAGGCCGGTGAAGATACTCTCAACACATGGGCAGAACTGAAGGCAACCATACGTCTGCAGTTCTTCCCCGAAAACGTGGAATACAATGCACGGAGAAAATTGCGTGAACTCCGCCACACCAAGTCGGTGCAGGACTACGTGCGTGAATTCTCCGCACTCATGCTAAACATACGGGATATGGGGGACAAAGACAAACTGTTCACATTCATAGAAGGTTTGAAACCTCATGCTCGTATGGAGCTGCAAAGACAAAGGGCGAATACCCTGCCCAAGGCCATTCAAGTTGCAGAGTGCCTTGGGGATTATCAGTTGGAAACTCAGAAGGATAGGCCCCAACCGCCTGTCCGAGGGGGATACAACGGGAGCCAACCTAGCAACGGTGGCCCCAACAGAAACGGAGGAGATCGAGGTGCATCCAAATCTAAGACTCCTTCCTCAAGCAGCAACAGTGCTGCATCAGTCAACAACCATAAGGGGAGAAAGCCCCCATCAGAATGCCGTCATTGCGGCGGGGAACATTGGAACAATCAATGCCCCAATACACAAATCAATGCTCAACAAACTGTTGACGATGATGAGTCAGATCAGGACGGCTCAGAACAAGTAGGTGCCTTCAACGCATTTGTTGGCTCCATTCATGATACCTTGGCGGGAACCAGTGCTGGCAACCCCAAGAAGAACGCATGCCCAATCGATAAGAAAGGGAAAGGAAAGGCGGATGTGAGGCCTCCCACAACACAAAAGAGGACCTTAATGTTCGTCGACATGAAAGTAAATGGCAGACCTATTCGTGCATTGATAGACACGGGTGCTAGCCACAACTACCTGGCCTCAACTCAGGTGCAACGCCTCGGT